ATATATTACACACATATGTATATATATACACACACTCACACACACATATATTTATATTTACATCTATCCCATCTTTTTCCCAGCCTAGGACTCAAGGTGGATTACAAAGTTTAGAAAAAAGATACAGCTAAAAATTCGCATCATACAAAAACTAATATATAATAAAGTTGGTTTTTTTAAATGAAGTTGTTGTAGTGTTGTCCTGCCTTTTCCAGGCCACTTTCTGCGGGTGGGGGGTGGATGGGGTATCCATCTGATCTACCACTCATCAATGATCCCGCATTTGGGGACTGGGCTAAACTGACTGGTGCCAGAAACATTCACGAAAAAAAAAAATGTAGGGCATTACAAAACAGAAGCTAAAAACACTCCTATAAATGGAAACTCGTGCTTCTCGGTCCTGCTTCAAATGGAGGACATTTTGGACAGAAGGCTGAAATGGAGGACATTCCTCCTGGAAAAGAAGGATCAAGTCTGGCCACCCTGCTTTGGAAGAATCCTAGTGCAACCAGGGACCTTTTAAATTATAGCACTACGATCCCGCTTTAACTGCTATGGAAATTTAGGATTGGCAGAAATTTAGGAGGGGCATTTAAACTTCTCAGCCAGAAGGTTCCTCTAGTGTTTCACCAAAGTACAGATCCCAAATTCGCTAAGATACAGCCGTGGCACTTGAAGTGGAACGAAAGCGCTGTAATGGTGTGGTGTGAAAGGGCCCCAGGTCCTCCAGGCTTCCTCACTCAAAGAGTAAGGAGGGTTGCAGACTGCCAGAAATAGTGCAAATTGAGTCCACTTTAAGGGTTAGGGAATCATGGGAACTGTATTTTATTGTGGCATCAGAGCTCTCTGACAGAGAAGGCTCAATTTCTCAGAAAAAACCAAACACAGTACCCATGATTCCCTAGCACTAACCCTAACCCTAAAAGTGGACTCAATTTGCACTATTTCTGGCAGTCTGCAACCCCCCTAAGTTTGCACAGAGGATCTGCTCACTCTGCTCAGCCCCAGAGCGAGGAAGCGACAGGCGGACGCTGGTTTTCCTTCACCACCAAGTTGCCCCGAGGATGAAGATTATTGCGAAGGCACTAGAATTAAGGGTCCCTTTCCCCATCTTTTCACATTACAGTCCTCCCTCCGTATCCACGGATTCTTTATCCACGGATTCAACCATCCACCGCTTGAAAATATTTTAAAAATATATAAATTCCAAAAAGCAAACCTTGATTTTGCCATTTTATATAAGGGACACCATTTCACTACGCCATTGTATTTCATGGGAGTTGAGCACCCATGGATTTGGGTATCCTGGAACCAAACCCCAGGGGATACCAAGGGCCCACTGTATTTATTTATTGGCCAGTGATAGACTATGCTTAGCTGGTGGGCCCAGAGCTGTCAGTCACTTCTCCTTGAAGAGCCTTGAAAAGGCCAAGAGGAGCAGAAACTGCACCAAACCATCTCGTTTGTAGTTTGGTGGAGAGTTTAGACATTGTCTTGCAGGGCCGTGGTACCTATGGTACGTTTCCCTCACTAATCCAGTTTCCCCCACTGATTTATTAACTAGACAGGCCAAGTCAAGGATTTCTGTTATCAAACCACTTTCCAAATCCCAAGGGAACGCATAATGCACCGAAAGAATTTAATATTCTTCATTAAACAATTGCAGTGTGATCGTATGCATGTTCACAGTTAGGAAAATGTCACAGAACGATCCCAGAATTCCATAGCATTGAGTCACGGCAGTTGAAGCGGTGTCAAACTGCATTATTTCTGCAGTGTAGATGCAGCCTTAGAAGCAAATTGCACATCAAGTGGTATGGAAATATGCTATGTGGGGAAACGTAACTACTCCTAACGGCAAGGATAAGTTATATGGTCTATTTTGTGCAGCCCAACTCAACAGTCAGATAACATGCATGATTTTGTTGCTGTGTCTCTTCAAGTCATTTCCGATTTACGGTGACCCTATCACGAGATTTTCTCGGCAAGATTTGTTCAGAGGAGGTTTGTCTTTGCCTTCCTCTGAGGCTGAGAGAGTGTGACTTGCCCAAGATCTCCCAATGGGTTTCCATGGCCGAGCAGGGATTTGACTCCCGGTCTCCAGAGTCATTGTTCAACGTTCAAACCACTGCACCACACTACCTCTCAATACGCATGAATAGTTGGAAATAAACCCCAGTTTATTGAGTGGAAATTGCTGCCAAAACTGTATCAGGCTGGACCCAGTTCAATACCGTTTACACTTGGGTGATCCAGTCCTATTGATTTTGGAGGATTATATAAGAGAGAGGATTATATTATAGCTCCTAACTATGTTAAACTATTTTAGGTGATTACTTAATAACTTAAAACAATATTTAATATCCAAATCAGTTGCCCAAAGACAGGAGTTTTAGATGGAACAATGAGGTCGTTTACCATTTTCTCTCTGTATTTACCGACAGCCTTCCCTACTTGATACTCTCCAAATGTTTTCGACTACAACCCCTATCAGTCTCAGCTAACTGGAATGATGGATGATGATGAAGTACTACATTGCCAGACCACCAGCAGCTAGAAAGCCCCCCCAAACCTGGTAGGAGAAGGCTCTTTAAGTGCCCTTATTATCACATTTCGCTGGTCAAATCCTAAGCAAGCCGCCCATCAGCTACCACCCTTCAAATGTAGGGAAAGAAATTATTTCGCCCCTTGTTGTTGTAGTTGTGTCTTCAAGTTGGTCCTGACTTATCATGGGGTTTTCTTGGCAAGATTTGCCCAGAGAGGATTTGCCTTTGCCTCCTTTTGAGGCTGAGAGCATGTGACTTGCCCAAGGTCACCCAGTGGGTTTCCATGGCCGAGCGGGATTCGAACCCTGGTCTCCAGAGTCATAGGCCAAAGCTCCAACCACTGCACCACCTAGGCTCTATTTAGCAGTTCGTGGAACTTAATTCACGTCAGTCTCTCTGTATTACTATAGAATGAATACTCTTTAAGGTCCCATTCTGTAGCAGAATCGTAAAATATGTATGAAGTTAGCAGACTTGCTTCAAAATATTGCCAAATATAGTGGTTCTCCACCTATGAGAACTTCTCACAACCCTGAAATAAGGGGTAGGGTGGGTGAAGAATAGATTAAATAAGTGTTCCTCACTCCTGCTTATATTTGTCTTTTTATTTAAAATTCACCAACATCTTGAGCCTCTTCCTTAGCATCTGAGGAAGTAGACTCAAGTCTACCAGAAAACTTAGGCTCCCAACTTCTTTCTTTCGGTTAGTTTCAAAGGTGCTACAAGATCCCTTTGCAAGCTGATTTTGCAGACTAACACGGCTAGGGCTGTTGAATTTCGAAGTCTCGTTATCACTAAGCAACTAATTACTTTAAAAAATACTGTTCTAAGCTCTGCTATAAGAAAGTAAAGAATGTAACATGTTCTTGTCCTCTGCTCTGGAGGCACAACAAACTACAGCTCCCAGAGTGAGTTCCATAGCATTGAGCCATGGCAGGTGAAGCGGTATCAAACCGGGTTATTTCTGCAGTGTGGATGCAGCCTGGATCTAATTTCTGGCTAAGAATTCATACACCGCGAGGGTGTTTGTTTCTTTAACTCCGTCTCCTCTTTTCTTTTAATGCCACTGTCGGTTTTGCGGTTTGTGAATTGGTTTGTGGCTTGAGAATTTGTTTATTTATTTATTTTTTTAAAAAATACACTCTCTTTTGAAAGTACGTGGTTGATAACCTCGAGCGGGGGTTGTCTTCGCCTTTATTTCCTGCCTTTGTATGCTTTATTGTTTGTTTTCCATCTTTTAACGGGTTTAAAGCGTTGCTTTTGTCGGCGTGAGCGTGAACCTCCTTACCCAGAGAAGTTGATAAAGCCACAAGGAAAGGCAATGGGACTGAATAGCAAGAGCAAGCCAGGCCTCTGGTGGGTTTGATTTAAAAAGAGAGGCGTCCCATTCACCATTTCTCTTCTTCCTCCTCCTCCTTCCCCTACGGATTACCACCAGGGGCCAGAAGGTGTGTATAAAATAAAATAAAATAAAATAAAATAAAATAAAATTCCACACTCGCACAGCAGCCTATGGAGTTGCCATTCAGAGCCTTGCCCTTGTCTTCCCTCCGATGAAGCAGACTATAGCTTGCCCCAGGGAGCCAGTGCCACAGCCAACCTGTCCAGCTTCCAGGATGCGCTTCTGTCTATTGAAGCCTTCATCCAGGTGAAGGGAAAGTCACCTGAGGGACAGACAGGCAAGGCAGCCTTCCAGCGGCTGCAGATGTTTTGCAGAGGGAAGCATCGCTTCATGTCAGAAGGAATCAGGGGGAGGGAGGGATTGCCCTATTACCTTTTGCAGACGATAGGATGATGATGATGATGATTATTATTATTATTATTATTATTATTATTATTATTATTATTATTATTATTATTATTATTATTATTCCAACCCTGGCTAGTACTGGGATGGGAGACCGCCAAGGAAGACCAGGTGCTTGTAGGCTATCTTTCAGAGGAAGGAACTGGCAAGACCACCTCTGAGTATCCCTTGCCTCAGAAAACCCTCTGAAATTCATGAGACCGCCGTAAGTCAACAGTTGACTTGAAGGCACAGACACATAATACTAAAGAGAGGGGACCTAAATACCCTAAAGCTACCAGATGCCATATGAGCTAAGCAGGGTCAGCCCTAGTTAGTGCTTGGATGGGAGACTGCCAACGAATACCAGGTGCTGTGCTCTATATTTCAGAGGAGGAAACTGGCAAAACTACCTCTGAGTATCCCTTGCCTAATTCATAAATGTATAGGGTCTCCAAAAGTCAACAGGCAACTTGAAGGCATTTCACACACACACACACATACACACAGATAGAGAGTTATTGTCGGGAAATAATTGCATTCTCTTTCCCCCTCCTAAGATAGATAGCATTTTCCTGCATGCAAACTCTGCTGTCCCCTCTTTTAAACATCCCATTCGGTTTTGCTGAATCACAGGGGCAATAAATACCTTTCTAAATTGGAAAAACAAACCATATGATTCAGCTTACTTCCTTTAGGAAGTTTCTCTCAAAACCAAAAGAGATTCTTTCCTGCTTCTCTCTGGGTCTCCCATCTCCCTACTCTCTAACCTTTCTTCGGAAAGATGGTGAGATAAATGTTTCTTCTTTTACCTGAATTTTTCATTCGCTAGTTAGGATATAGCTTCCATGCATATGTAGATTCAAGCCATTAGTAAAGTTTTGTTTTTTAAACTATTATACAAGCGATTTCTGTTGTCGTTGAGTCAGCCTCAGTTTTAGGGAAGTACAGTTAGGCAGGACATGTTTCTGCTGCTCTACTGATTTAAAGATAGTCCCTAACAAGCTTAACTTTGATATTTTTGACATTTTGATATTTTTGTTTTCTTAACAAAGGCTAAAGCCTTAGGAAACTTGAATCCCCAACATTTTTGGGTTATGAGGCTCCAGAGTCTTTTGTTTTAAATGTGGCTGCAACAAAGTCTTTACTACTGAAACAATAGTTAATGGGTACTGCTAATCCTAACCCCACAATGATCATTGAAATATTAACTGTCACAAATTATAAAACGTGGTCATGAAAAATGCAAATGCACTTGACTACAATGGGATTATTTAAAGCAGTGAATGAGCAGAGACCCACAGAAGCAGGAAAACAACAACAACAGTTTGACGAAAATGAAAACAAAGCAGTTGCTTACATTTGCCTGTCTATAGATCCCAACACAGCTTACCATATCGGTGGTTTGACCAATGCAAGAGAAATATGGGATAAACTACAGAAAGTATTTGATTCTCCAAGTACTTCTAATCAAACAGCTCTCATGATAAAACTTGTTAGCACAAGATTGTCTCATCCTCAATATTTGAATCAGCAGATCAATGGCTTTATGACAGCTTTGTCTGGAGTAACATCACCTGGGGAATCTTTCCCGGAGCATGCAAAACTTGGACTATTTTTGGCTAGCCTTCCAAAATATTACTCTCCAATAATGAATGTTCTGCAAGTTATACCAAAATATGATCTGAATAAAATTTTCAGATGAATTCAAGGACAATGTAAGAAACAGATTTGAACTATTGAGTATAATCAACCAGGAACCTGAAGAACTGTGGACAGAAGTCAAAGATATAATTAAGAATGAATGCAAGAAAACACTAACAGTTGCCAAAAAGAAAGATAAGAAACAATGGATCACAGATGAAACACTTCATGCAATAAAAAGAAAAAGACAAGCAAAACCAAAGGGAGATAGGAACAAAGCCAGAAGTATGAACACAACTGTCCAACGTCTGACATGCAGGGATAAAGAGAAATACTACAATGACCAATGCAGAGAAATAGAAAACAACAGCAATAAGGGAAGAATGAGAGACCTCTATCAAAAAATCTGAGAAATTAA